CTACCTTGGTGAAAATTAAGCCGAGCTCAAAATAATAGAACTCCTTCGCCATCTCCTCCAAAACCCCACAAGGTTAATCACAATATGTAACACCAATATGTTCAAGTGACGCTTGAACTTCTAAATGTTGACCGATTTGATCATCGTTCTTGTCACACAAAACGAACCAACTTGTCAAGCTCCACCTGCTTATGAACACTGAGAACTTTATCTGCAACTACTAACTCGTTTCTTCGTATAAGATATCATCAGAATCATTAGCTCTGCTAATTACCAATCTTGGTGACTTTGGCCCAAAAAACCAGAAACACTACCGTTCATCACAAACTCAAATCCCTAAGAATAGTCACGTTCTTGTCCTTCGCATAAGCTTACCATTATTCACATGAGCACATGCAGAACAGCCAAATAATCTCTAAACGAAATCAACAAAGCAACCAAGTCATACCTCAAATGGAGTCTTTAATCTAAATGCAATCGATAGAGATCTAACCAAATAGCAGGCTGAAAAACCGAACTTAAAAAGCAAATAACAAACTATTCTTAAAGGAGTTCATTTCATTCTATCTGCAACTAACAATTGTTGGGGCATACCCCAAGTAATGCAACCGTCTCACTTTTTCATTCTCGCAGAACCCATCCAAATGACTCACTAAATTGCATATCATCATAGTCATCAACAAATGTTAAAACTGGCATCTCTATTTCACTCATATGACCCTAACATGAATGCTCAAAATCAACAAAGCAACCAAACCATACCATTTTAATATTTAGTTGTTTGTTTTGGTGATATGAAAAGAGGATAATTTTTTCCTTCTGCAATATGCATTAAAGTTTTAGTTTCAACTATAAAGTAAAAAATCTACTAATTTCATTATCTCTCTGTTTTCAAGTACTCTTTTTTTTTTCCTTCCTTTTTTTAACCAACAATTGTTAGATGCATGCTCTAAATGTGTTTAACTTTATTTAAGTGCTTTTCAATCTTAAAAAAATTGAATTTCTTTCGTACTCCTTTCTTGTCAGTTTGTTGATGATTATTGTTTGAATTGCATAATAACTATTTTTGCTTTTTGTTATTGTTATCGTTGTTTTGTATTGAGTTGTTTGGTTTTTAAACCTAATTAATTAGTTATATATTTTTTGATAAGAAACGAAAAACTATCTTACTTCTCGTCCCCTGCTGTATACTTTTCATTGTGATTGATATCTAAGCCTAATTAGTTATATGAAAATATAGTAATTGAAATATGAACAAGATCTTTAAATATAGATTAGCAAAAAAAAAAAAAAAAATTAAATTTAAAAAGGCCTCCTTTAAAATTGTTGCTTAATTCCCCTTAAATTGCTTGAACCGGCCTTGCTTATAACCTTGTCAGCCGAGTCTCTAAAAACTTGGTACTTTCTTCAAATCAAGCACATGTCTAACATTAGTTAAAGTTAGGAGTCACGAGTTTTAAGTATTTTAGAAATTTTAGTTTTTTCCCTTATATGTTGACTATTAAAAGCTATTTCCAATATTACTTAATTGGGATTGACATAACTCTTCATGAACTTCACAAATGGTTATGAAGATCCTGATTTATGTGTGGATGGATAAGTGAACTAAAATTTGGCCATCAACTGACATAACAATTAACTTCAGTACTTCTTAGCGGATAATATATACATGTAAATGGGTGATCCTTTCTTTTTTTTAGTAGGATCATTGTTAGATAATTGAATAACTAAAACATAGTTGGTTTTTGTTATTGCAGGAGCAGCCTAACAATAATTTTACATGTATTTCTAATATTGGCGTTTAAAGTTTAAGGCCCTGTTCATTTCGCTGATTCGAGTTTAGAATTCGAGTTTTGTTACAGTAAAAAGCTCTCACAAACAGTCACATTTAACTTTTTTTCTACAGTAAAAAGCTCTCACATAAAATCACATCTCAACTCGAATTAAAAACTCGAATCAACGAACTAAACGGACCCTAAGTCTCCCTTCCAAGCTTATTCTTCTTCTTCTTCTTCTCTTATTATTATTTTTTTTCCTTTCCTTGGACAAAACCCCAATTAATATATGTTGTCCGTGGCAGGCACTCTGTATTAGAATATGTGTGTGCGCGCGCGCGCGTTCAACCATGCTTCTGCTGAGACCATTTTTCTCTGTTCAATTGTGCTCCCACTAAGGTTTTCCTCTTGCAAAAGTTTATACATAATTCTTAAAATTTCAGTTATGGCCTTAGATAATTAAATTTCAAGAGTGTTCCTATTTCATCTAAAATTTCAACTTAATATATGCCGTCATTACAACAAGTTTTTAGCTGCCCAAATAAAAAAAAAAAAAAAAAAACTTGAAGTATAGCTATCCCTGCAATAATGAAAGACAGGTGATGGTTTAATATTTATTTATAACGGTTTGTGTTTTAGTTGTCCATAATATTAATTGGGTTTACTTTGTTGTGGTTAATTATTTCTATAATTAAGAAGATTGAATCACTGAAATGGGTAAAAAAATATATATATTTTCCAAGTTCCACCCAATTACTAAACCTTTTCTCAATTGGCTAGCTGCCAATAATGTCAAGTAGCACAAGAATTCAGATTCTCTCACTTAAAACAAAAAAAAAAAAAAGAAATTAATGTTTATGCTTATTGCAACAAAAATTCAGATTCTCTCACTTAAAACCAAAAAAAAGAAAAAGAAAGGTTGGATAAACGTAAACATGCTGCTCAAATTTCATGTGAAAAAGGGCACAATAATTTCTTGCTAATTTTGTGGAACACAGGCCCAATATCAAAATTTAATATCACATTGTCTATAATATATATA